CTACTTCTTTCTGCAGAATGTAGAGAAAAGGCTTGTGTGATCATCTACAATCCGATATTGGCGTAAGCGAAAATATGCATACAAAGTAAAACCTTCAACTAGTAATTTGATCCAGGACTGTCCCAGGTCTCAGGTATGATGGAGTGAAGCATGCAGCAGTTGTCTTGATAGGCGCCGCACTCGGTTGTGCAATCTGATGAATGCGAATTGTCATGCATAACCTCTTCAATCCTTTCATAAACTTCTGCCACAGTTGGCCTGTTTGTGGGGGAAGCTGATACACATTTTAGGGCAATGTTGAGCAGAGGAAAGGCCCATTCTTTTGCAGCTTTAGCAACCTCCTTGTCAAAAACCTCTCCTGTCCATTCTTCCTTAACCATGGCAGTGACCCACTTAGGAAGATCTATACCAGTTCCTTCCACTGTTTTGCCTGTTAACAACTCCAGAAGAATCACTCCAAAGCTATAAACATCACCCTTTTCTGATAACATTTTCTCAGGGGCTGTGTAACCATTGGTGGAAATGACACATCCTTTCTTGGGGTCGAAGAATCTTGAAAACCCGTATTCGCTAATTAGGGGTTCCTCGTTGTCATCCAAGAGGATATTTGAAAGCTTGAGATTCCCATGAGGGATGCACTCATCAGGTCTCTGATATATGAAGGCTAGGCCCCTTGCAATGCCGCGCGCTATGGATAGCCGAACCCTCCATGGAAAATCCCTCTTACCCTCTATGTAGCCTGCAGGTAATCAAAGGCGTGCATAATCAAAATGTAGGAAGTAAATAAGGGCCTTGTAAATTCTAAGTGATTCAAAATTTATGAGAAATATATGTATTTGCCCCCACTTAAATTCAAGTTTCCTTTTATTTTGCATAAATCTATAGGTTGTTTTGGGTTGTGAATAAAAGCCAAAATGAATGTTCTGTTTGTGTATGTGTATATATTGGTCAGTTGATGCATTGCAATGTATAGAAATATTTGATCTCAACTTACTCTCAAGCAGGTTTAGCAAACTTCCATTGGTTTGAAACTTGTAGATCAGAAGTTTTTCTTCATTGCTAGAATTGTAACCAACAAGAGGTAGAATGTTGGGATGCTTTAGGTTCCCTATCTGTCTCATTGTTTGGCCAAACTCCTCAAAGGGTACCTGCAATTTCTTCAACCTTTTGACTGCGTATAGGGCATTGTTCTTGAGTATTACCTTGTAAAGGCTGCTGCGAAAGGTCTGGTTTCTCAAGTCTGCTGTGGCTTCAAGGAGGTCCTCCAATTTAAAGCTCTCGTGTTCTTCAACAAAGAACACAAGCTCTGAGCGATTTTCTTCTGGCTTCTCTTCCTCTTGAATCTTAGGAAGAGACATTTTGTGTGGCGAGTCTCGAAGAGACTTCATAATCTCCCTATCTGCAGCTAACTTTGCCGCCTTCCTCCCCGCAAAGTATGTGAACAAGAGAAAGAAGCCAATCCCAACAACTAATGGTATCATGAACTTGTATCTCTTGTACCACGATTTACCTGGAGGATTAGGATTGCCATTAGTTGGGCTATCTGAGGCTGCCATTATGGTCACCGACTCCACAGCCTTTTCCTGGTTTTTCAAGGCATCATTTCTCTGCAATCTCCTTGATTTCTTCACATATGTATAATGCTGAAATTCCTCTTTCGAACGTGGGCTGGTGGTAGTAAAATGATTGTCAGAAATGTCCAATCTCCTTAGATCTTTCAGTTTACCCAGAGCCTTTTTAGGTATCCTCTCACTCAGAAAATTGCTCCTTAGATTCAAATAGGTTAGCCTTGTGCAGTGCACTATTGAGTTAGAAATAGTTCCCCGGATTTTGTTTCTTGCTAAGCTAACGTATTGAAGATTTGGGAGCTTACATAGTGAATCTACATCAAGTATGCCCCTAAGATTCAGATTTTCAAGCCTGATTTCCGTTACCGAAGTACCCTGTGAGTTGCATTTCACACCCTTAAACTTATGCATGCAGGGATTTCGCCGCATAGACACATTGTAGCCAATGCTGAGTACATGTTGAGGATCAACAGCTCTAATGAATTGCCGCAAAGCTTCAAATTCTGATGACTCATCGCCCATACATACTGCGATCGAGAAGGAAAAAACCCCGATGCATATCAGCCCCTTCAAAAGCAGATTGGAACATCTCCTGCTCAGCATTTTTGTTGGCTCTACTTCTTTGTTGGACTCATCAGAAACTGAATGAACCGAGATAAACTACGGTTTCTTTTTTCTTTTTCACTTTTTTCCCAAAAGTCTTGAAGGCATCTCAAAGCAAGTATATAGGCTATGTCAGATGAGGACATGCTTTGTATACTACAAAGTTTCATAAGTATTTTCTTCAATGTGTGAGATAACCAATGTTTGGAAGTGTTTGTTGATTCGTTATGTTCAATGTGATATCAAAGTCATTGAAACCACGTATCAGATGAATTCCACAATTTGACAATTTTGTCCAGGCTAGAAAAGTTGTATAATGTCAGTGAACAAGTCTGCGTTACTTTGGTTTGCTGCTTTTTATTATTTTCATTATTCACAAATAGATTGCAGAGAATACAAATCATTCTGAAGGTAAGAGTGAAGCCAGCTAGGTCCGTCTTCCATCCAGTAACATATCGCATTACAAAATAAAACAAATTTGACTAATTAGTGAGCCACAAAATTACATGAACGGGTTGGTTTGCTGCATATTGGTTAGTCATTTCAATTGGGGGGCTAGAAGTTCGGGGCACCAAGTATTTTGGATGATTCATTTTGACGGGTATGTCTATAATCCATCTTTGTAGAAATGATTAATTTATGGTAATGACTTATTTATTTTTGGTTTTTGGCTTTAGGGAAGTCAAGTGGTTACATAGTTTATACGACATCATAATTAATTAGGGGCCAACATAGATGGGGTGTGGGTAAAAATCAATGTTCCGGAGCTTCCAAGATTAGGTTGATTGTTTCAAAACATAGGATAGCTACGACTAGGAACCAAAAAGTTTAGTATAAATATATAAAAACAACCTATAAGTTGGACATCTCTATGAAGAAAAACAAGAGACAAGAGAGTCAACAATGAGGAGGGGCTCAGTTCAATCCTGCCGGTTATTTGGCTACGCCGGCGACGACCATGAGTGGCGAGAATTTACGTCATGCAGGTTTTTTAATCTATTTAAATATGTTGTTTTATTAATCAAAATTAAAAAATTTAATGGCTAAATTGATGTGCTTATGTCATATTAGCAGGTTAAAGATTTTATTTATGGAATTAATAGAATGGGACAAAGTGAGAGACCCTGAATAAAAACACATGATGTAAAGATGCAAAGTAAGACGGTCTAAAATACATGGAATAAATTGAGATGATTTGAGCAACAACACAAGGGGCAAAAAGTTAGAATTATGCCGAAAATAAAGCATATGAAGTTAGAACAGACCAAGGAGGACAGTTAAAGATTACAACGATGAGAAATAATAACCCAAAAAAAAAAAAAAAAAAAAAAAAAAAAAAGACCAAACCGAAGAAGTGGCTGCAGTCTGCAGTGTGTTTTTTTGGTCGTTTGGGTACACAAATCTAATAAAAGAACGAGGAATTCTTATGCGTTACGATTACACTATTACATTGTGGTATCAATCTACTAATGTTATAACACGTATAGTATATGTTTTATGATATATCAATATTATTCAACAATATTATAACATTTAGATTAATAACAGTGTGAATTTCACACCTTTTCCAAAAGAACAATATAAACTTGTCAAACTTGGGCCTTTAAAAATTAAAACTTTTATGTGGATAAACAACTCCAAGGGGATACATAAACATATCATAAATAAATAAAAATATGATATATCTCCAAGAAGAGCCAGGACGACAACACAGATTTACTGCATCAAACAAAGCATACTAGGTTAAACCAAAGCTGTAACCATAAAAAACATAAATCTAGAACTCTAAATGAAGAGGATGATGATGACATTTTTACATTCTTCAACACGTCTTCTCATGTAGGACAAATATATAGTTGGCTATAAATGCAATCAATTCCAATTCTTCGTTTTTTTTTTTTTTTTTTTTTTTTTTTTTTTTTTTTTGGTTTGCAATGGGGTTATTTATATTTTAATTCTTTTTTAGGGGTTATTGATCTTTAATATTCTTTTTTCAGAAATCGGATAAGATTAATGAATTATATTTTGGGAACACTGTTCTTATATTTTATCACCAGCCATTCACGGAGGTTTGATGCAATGCAAAGACCGACCCTTTTGCTTTTGCTTGGAAAGAAATGGAAGCAACTCACTGCCATGTCTTTCCCACAAGACAAAGTGTGTGTGTGACAGCAAAGGCCACAAGGGGAATAAGGGCAATTGGCCACTCCCACCCACTAACCCTCTTCATCATTGTGTTTTGCTTCACGCTAAGAGACCCTTTCTCAAATTTTAAAATCCCTTTTGCTTAATCAAACATTTGACTTCACTAATTTTTTTCATTAATTACTCTTCAATTTTAATTTCTTTTCTTTGACTTTGCTTGAATAATCTAACTTAAGATTTAATCCATGCTTGTTTTAATTTGATTCAACCCTACAAGCAAACGTTTCAAAAGCAGGAGAGTGCTTTACATAAGAGTCGACTTCTGTGAAGAGTTGGAAAAAAATATAGATAAACAATTGGTACCTCCATCCACTAACCTATTTTGATTGCAAAAAAAAATATATGACAGAGAAATCGTCATAGGTTGGAAACAATTCAAGCAAAACCACAAAAAGAAACCCAATCTTCATCTAACAACAACAATTAATTTGTAATGTGAAAATCCTATGTACAAATTCAACACCATGATTCCAAAACTCTATCCTTATCTAATTTCCCTTCTAAAAAAGAGGAACCAATTCAGAAAAAAAAAAAAAAAAAAACTAAAACTAAAAACTAGCACTAACACATATTTAACTAGTCAATTAAACACATCTAACAACATAATTACTTAGCCATGATTGATCATGAGTAAACATTTTCTTTGTTATCATCATCTCCGACTTCATCAAAAAATGGATCATTGAGAAGTTCAGTTGCAGAAGGCCTCGCTCTAGGTTGGGCGAGGCACTTCTCAACAAACGCCTTCACCTCTGGATCGTTGACCTTGTTCAAGGATTGGGGTCTTACCCCAGAGGTTACCTTTTTGTATATTTTAGCAACATTGTCGCATTCACTATAGGGAATTTCCAAGGTCACCATCTCTAGCACACACATCCCAAATGAGTATATGTCCACCATTTCAGTGTAGTCCTCTTCATACAGCTCTGGTGCCATAAATTCCGGGGTCCCTAACACTGAATGCGCTGAATGGTTTTTCCCCACAATTGCAGCCAATCCCAAATCACCAATCTTCACCTATTGAACCATAAATTAAAAATATATATTAACAAAACTGAATATTAAAAATAATAATAAAAAACCCCAAAAAAGGTAAAAATGAAATAAAATTGAAGTGATCAATTATCAGTACCTGGCCAATATTCCCGTTGATAAAGACATTGCTGCAATTGAGATCTCTGTGGATAACACAAGGCTCATGAGTATGCAAATACTCAAGCCCTTTCAAGATCTGCTTGGACCACTTCTTCAAGGCTATCAATGAAACATGCTTATGCTTCTTCCTATAGTCCCTCAGATTCCCATTTGTACAAACTTCTGTCATGAAATTGAGGGTGTTATTCTCTGCGTCCCGCCACACATTATACAAGGTAATGATGTTCTTGTCTGCCAGGGATCTCAGCAACCCAACCTCGGCGTAGAGCCGTTCGATCATGGCAGGGTCATTGGTGAAGTTACGTAGCTTGACTTGGTTCCATGCCACCTCTATGCCCTCTTCTTGATCAAACGCCCGGTACACCTTCTTCACTGCACCGCACCCTAGGAGCTCGTTGTACCGCCCATATCGCCCCGTGGGGTCGATTTCGACGAACGGTTCTTTGTCAGATTGATCTTGGTTTTCACTCGGCATCTGCAAGAAATAAATATTAGTCCCAGAAGAAGAATAAAAAAAGTTTGGAAAGGCCTCAAAAACCAATGAAAGAACTTCTTTTGGAAACTCAATTATAAATACAAATTAACAAAGAAAATATATACAATCTCTGATCAACCCCAGAAAATAAAAGTCAAAGATTAGAGCTTCAAGCATATATTTCAGCACATAAGAAAAAGTTGAGAGGAAAGAGAAAGGTGGTTTACCTTGTAGGCTCTCAGACGCAAATATTTTTCTGCAAAAAAGAAAACGTAAGGGAGCAAAAAAACAAGCAAGCACAAAACAACGAAAGCAAAGTGATGAAAAGAAATAGGGTTGAAGAGAGGTGTGTGTGTGTGTATATATAGGAGGTGAGCCGCGGTTAAAAGTGAAAGAAGGAGTAGGTAGGTAGGTATAGGGGGGTTAATCCTGATTAATTTAGATAATAAACAAGATCGAGCCGTTTAAGGATAAGTAGGTAATTGTTGATCAGATTGGATTCGGAAAGATAAGCCTCCTCCACATAGATATAGATCAAAGTGAAGTGATGGTAAATTTCTAAAATGAAAGTTACTCCGATTGGTTATAGAATATAGATCTTATTATTATTAACTCAGAATTGGTTTCCATTTTGTTTTTGTATTTTGTATTCAATCCGAAGTCAAATTTGACACATCAGCGTTGAGGATCTGAATCTTCCACATAAGTCGACATTGACGGTCTGGATGTTTCTAGCAGTAAATCAAATCACATGTGCTTAATTTAATTGTCACGCTCACAAGGTGGAAATTAAAGACCAAAATGAAAAAGAAAAAGATCATAGAAAGTTAAGAAAATAACCCACAATAGCTTTATTAATAGTGTTAATAACCCCGTTGTAGTTCTTCATTTTTATTAATAAAATTTCCATTGTACCGTCGAGATTCTCTTAAAATTACTCGCAATAGCTTTTACAAACAATTTAGACTTAGTGCCCGTTTGACATTGCTTATTTGGGGTGATAAGTGATTTTTAAAAAAATTTGGGAAGCACAACCCATTTGGTAAACTAAGATAAAATCACTTATTGTTGAAAATTGCTGTGATAGAAAGCTACAAGGAAAAGCAGCTAATGAGGTGCTTTCATTTTCTGATTATGCGGGAATCAGTTTCGAAGAAGTGCTAGGTTTAATGATTATGCGAGAATCATTTTCTGATTATGCGGAAATTAGTACTAACAACTCATTTAATAAAAAGTTTACCAAACACCAAACTGCTTTTTCTCACAACTGATTTCTCTCACAGTAAATCTGACAGTGATTATTTTCATAACACAGCAATGCCAAACTGGCCCTTAGAAAGGATGGTGTATCACCCTCACCGTGTTTTTCTGTGTGAGTGACTGATGCTTTTTGCTGGCACATAGAATAATACTGTAGCATGCTTATGTATTTGGAATCGAAGTGACAAAGAAATAAATCTAATTCACATTAACATTGTGGACGTTGATTTATAGTATTGATTAATAAATCCACATATATTTATTAATTCATGTGTCATAAGTATGCAAATGGTGTATTCTTTACAATATAGTATTAACACATATATACATATTATAATATTAGTGGATCGATAACATTAAATGACAGTGTTATATATCACATTGAAAAATTCCTCGCCATATGCCTCATAAAATTATTCTATGTAATTAGATGAAGTCATATTTTTCTATTAGTGCTCCGGTTAGGTGCTAGAAGATCATTCTTTGTTGAAGAATTCTATGTACATCCCGTTAAATACGCCCTACTATCCATCCAACCTATATTATCAAACAACAAAAAAGCATATAGGGATGTAGAGAAAATCTGCGAGGAGTCAATAGAAATCCCCTTCCTTGTGTGAATGGTTCAAAATCTTCATGTTGTTGACAGTGTTCTGATATACTTTTGTGGCTCTGAATAAAGTGTTCTGCTGATCAAACTTGTTCAATAACAAACAAGTCCGGCCAATTTTCTCCTAGTATTATAAAAGCAAATTTTTACGGAAAATCTTAATTAAAATTTTATTTATCTTTCTATAGTGCAGAGTCGGTTTAAAACATGTGTGTCGTTAACTCTTATTTATGAGAAATTGACACAATTGCACATGATTTCAGAGTCTAAAAATTGACGGAATCATAGATTTTGACCCAATTGAAATTATGTGGGATTCAAACAACTGAATTAAAATTGAGGTAAAACTACAGGATCAAATTAAAGTTTCATTTCCCAATTATGAGGCTATTAGTGGAGATACATCTTGTGCCCTTAATGTATCTGGATTAACATTACTATGCTTCCATCTTTGTATTAACCCTTTGTGAGTATTTGTATTGGCCCTTCTTTCTTATGATTTTTGTGCTTAATTTATAAATATATTATAAATATAATTATTTTTTTTCCCAAAAAAAAATATATATAACAAAAAGAATATTAGAAAAACAGAACAGAAGATATTCATGCAGAGGTGTGAGATGGGTAGTTTCTTTCTGACGAATTTTCAAAGGTGTTGACTGCATTCTAACAACTAAGCTTTAGGAATCGATTTTCTTTACTTCCACTTCAAGTCGAAACAAAACCTTCTCACTGAGCTAAAACTAACTGAGGTCACGTGGAGCAATATTAGGAAGATTAATCATAAATCTAGGAAACATATATAAACTTTAATTAGTAGCCCTTGTAGATTTGTGTTTTCTTGTGATATCAATCTTTTGCATGTACAGAATTATGAAACACATGAAGAAACATGTGATTGATCCTGCAAGTTGACGGCATCCACTCACTCTACTGCTATGCATGTGAAATCACAACTGGTTCCTTCAATTTTCATTATGTTCAAGCTTGTTTAAGAAATATAGAAGCTACTCATTTTTTCTAGCAAATAATGCAGCCCCTGAGAGCTCCACGAGGTTAGGAGATTCACACAAGGATATGTAGTAGGCAAGGAAAATAATGCAACAATTTTTATTAATTTAAATAAAGTAAACTTGATTAAATAAGCTTCAACAGTACAATCAAATACATCAACAAGACATCTAAAAAGAAACATATTGTAAACCCGGCATCCCTCTCGTGGTGTAAGTGGCCTTAACCTGGGCCAGGTTAAGGCTTACACCAAATCACATGGTTGAGCTACCTTCCGAAAATGATCTATACACTTCGAACAATTATCAGAATAGAAGCAGACTGGGTGGATCCCAGTTGAACCCCTTATGATGGCTAAGTCAGAAGTAGTTTAAAGGTGGAGAAAGAGAGATGTAGGGTTTTAGGTGAGAATACTTATTACCTTTGTCCTAATGCAGGGGAAGGGTATTTATAGAGGGGGAGAAGGGAGGCTAAATATCCAAGGAAGAGATATTTATCTCCCTCTTCCTCCTGGTGGGACTAAAATACATTAAATGACTTCTCTTGATCACCATGCTATCTGACAGGGATTAAGTGGCAGAGCGACACTTGGCTTTGGATATGAGGCACATTAATTGATCATTCTCCATCACCAGGTTGTTTATTAGGGATTAAATGTTATGCGACACCTGGCCTTGGATGTGAGGCACATTAATTGATCCATCTCCATCGCCAGGTTGTTTATCAAGCGGAGGGAGTGATTGACTCGACAGGGGTCTAATCGTGCCTGGTCACACACGGTATCCCAGTGGTCAGGTCGGTGTTCACATGCCCGATCACTGATTCACACTCTCTCCTGTCAAGTTCGGCTCGAAGGCCCTTTATCGCCACTCGGGGTAGTCCATATGGTCGACTCGGTATAAGGGCGATCTAGTCTCTTATGGCCACATGGTGTTCTCTGATAGGCTCGGCTTATAGTGTTGGTATGAACCATTAACACATATAATTATCGAGCCGGGTTCGGGGAAGGAGACATTAATACCATCCCCGACTTGTTCTCGTTGGGGATTTTTAAAATTCGGAGATCCTCGTTTGGCCCCGAAATCTCCCCCCATTAAGGCCAAGTACCTGAAAGAAATTTCTGCCATCCCTAGTCCTGAATATATAAACAGTGGCCCTAGTTCCCCTTTAATTTCAAAACCACCAAACAAGTAAAGGAAAAAATAGGCACAACACAAGGGATAGTTTCATTGGTGCACTTAGCAATTCTAAATCCATCCATAACTCTGTCCAAAATAAATAAATAAAGAATAATCCAAATCAAAATGTAAACATAAACAATGAAATAATAGTCTCACAATGCAAGGGTTCATTGGAAAGGTGATAGTTTTGTAATTTATTTATATTATTTGGAGAAAAATTGAGCAATGCCTTCTGAAATATAGGTCATGTTCCACTTTGCCCTTTGAACTTCCAATTTAGTTTAAAACTCCTAAAACTTTCAATTTGAGTTTATCCCCTCCTATCGTTAGTTATGTCCATTAATCCATCAAATTGAGGCTCATTTTTGTCCCTTTTAGTTCAAACTTGTTTTAACTCACCTTCACCATGTATGACTCGAGCCTCTCACCCAATTTCATGACTTACATATCTAATAGAGAATGAGGATTTGAGGTTGAGAAAATTGAAGTCAATGTTTGATTAAGACATCAATTGAAGTAAATGGCCCCAAAAATAAACAAGGGCAATTTTGTCCATTTTGTCTTCTTTTAAAAATTTTCTCTCCTTTGGTCTTTTCCAAAGTCTCCCATGTTTTATTACCATCATAGAATTAATTTATTCATTTTTTTTTTTTTAATAACTTTCATTTTTTTTTTGAAAACACGAATTTCCTTAAATTAATATAAATGACTAAAACTTTTACATGTTGGGTGATGGGTCTGAAATATGTTTATTTGTGTCTGAAAATATTTTTTAGATAGTGTAAAGTAAATCAAACTTTTTCATTTTGTGTTTCTTATTTTACCTTTTAACCAATCAACTATCCCAATTGTTTACACCATAATCAACCGAGCATATCCAGCGTCGAAACAACTAGCACCAAGGCAGACGCGCCTCCTCCCCTGCCGAAGGAAGACACTCTTCCAAGATGCTAGACACCTGCCGAAGCTCTCAAACTGCCAAACCTAATCTCCAAGACATGTGTCACCACCACAGTGACTTGCATAAAGTCCCACATCGAAATTCTATGCAAACCGCCCACTTTCACATTCCTATAAATAGGGAATAGTATCCATGTGAATAGGGGACTTCTCTCCACTTAGAAAAGGATCCGGGTCTTGGAGCTAGACCCTTGGGCCTTGGACTCTCTCTCTTCTAGATCCCTGGCCTGGGCATCTCACTTGTCATCTTTATATTTGGGTCCAACCTCATGTACAAATGTAATCATACATTATCATAATGAGAACATACTTATCTGTGGACATAGCCCATTCATTAAGGGTGAACCACGTATATCTCGTCTTCTTTATATTTATCGCTTGCCCAGACCCTCACACACACACTGAAGGTCCTCACCTTCACCCATCATCCATCATTTTACATCTATCTAAGTTGACCTCCCAAAAAGATCATCAACAGTTTGGCGCCATCTATAGGAATCGACACAAAAGGCTTCTGTCATTCTCCCCTTCTTCAGTGCCCATCGGCATCCATACAATCAACATCACCCAAGTTGCCTTTCGGCAATATCTTACTGGAGCAACCATGCTAAGGCAACAAATTGCAGAAGATGATATTTCAAGGAAAAGCCAACCAAAATGTGGCTATACTTTGCATGGCTTGCGCACCAAGTGTGAAACCAACGTCTTAATTCAAAGTATGGGGACTTGAGCTTAAAATATGGGGACTTGAGCTTGTTCTACAAGCTTCATCATTCGGCGCGAGCGATGCCTTCGGCACCTCGCCATCAACCAGCGTGAGCGATACCTTCGACACCCCGTTATCATCATTAGGCGCGAGCGATGCCTTCGGCACCTCGTCATCATCATTCGACGCGACCGATGCCTTCGGCACCCCGTTGTCATTCAGCTTGAGTGATGTCTTTCGGCACCTCATTATCATTTGACGCGAGTGATGCCTTCGGCACCCCGTCGCCATTCAGCTTAAGTGATGCTTTTCGGCACCTCATCATCATTCGAAGAAAGCAATGCCTTCGGCACCTCGTCATCATGTGACACATGCGATGCCTTTGGCAGACCTCTCTGATACGAGCGATGCCCATGCACATCCTTACCACAAGATAAGATTTCTCTTCTTACATATAAATATTGCATACAAGCATGTAATGTTTAAATAATTCACTGCACAATCCTATTCAACAATATGGTTCATCAATAATTGTTGTCCGGGCCGCTTTGAAGATGCTCCAATTTGGCAATTGCCAAATATTTCAATTCAACAACAGCATCACTTTGCAGGACCAAGGAGGCCAACCACCATTTCAATCCAATGGGAAGCCCGCGTGGTTATTATTGCTCACATGGCTTACATGGTTACATTTGTTTGCACGGCTTACGTGGTTATTATTGTTTGCATGATTGAAGACAACTAGCTGAAAGTCTGGAGCAATTTAAATGGCCAAGCCATACAAAACCCAGCCACTAAATTTATCAAGACACCCAATGGGAAGGCAAGTATCAACTACTTCACACAGTTATAAACTTGATTGTCAAAATCAATGCTCAAACAAAGGAACAGCACCTCAGCTACCGAAAAAAAAAAACAAGAAGGCGGCTTCAGCAGTTTCAAATTCAAGCTATATTTTTTGAAGGACTAATCGGGTCATTTCAAGCTAGCCAACGACAAGGCTCATGAAAGACATTTGGGAGGCTCACAAACTTAATCCTCCTTACCTTTACAAGGCCCAGCTCCAATTCAAAGCTCAAGGCTGCCGAAGACAAAAGAAGAAATTTAAAGATCACAAAAGCCAAACCTCGAAATCACGGCTCCAAAAGAAACCCCTCCAGAACGGTAAGCGCCATGCAGAACCAAATGGGGGCTCGCAAAAATTGGTTCTTACCAAGACACTATTGCCAAAGACAACATACTTTCAGAGGCCTCCAAAGCTTCTAAATCCCCAATTTGCTGAACACAACAAGACCTCAAGGAATTTCCAATCTACACACCTTGCCGAACGGTAGGTGCTTCACAACAGATGCACGGGCTCAAGACTGCTTCCCAAATTGATCCCACCAAACGGTACAAACCCCAGCTAGTCGGGCCGAACGGCAAGCTTGATACGAGTCTAGCAGTGAACTCACAAGATTGGCTTCAGCAACAACAAGCCCACCATGGCCCACCTACCGAACGTATGCACGTGGTATTATACTTGCCGAAACAAGAAGCCAAGCACAACTCAAAGATAGTCGAAAACTTGAACCAAAGGACACGCAAAGATAGTCTTGCTGAACGGAAAGTCCCAAGAAGGAACAAAAATTGGCACGCAAAGAGTCTTACCAACTCCAAGCCAGCCCACGAGTCTGCGAAATGCTCCTTGCCAAAATTGACGAAAAACTACAAGCTCTCGTGCCTACACAGAGAGCCCAACCAGAGATACCTTTTGTCAAAATCACACGAGGCATAGCCCCGATTTTCTCCTTCCAGAACCTGCTGAAGATTAACAACAGAAATCAATTTATGGTATATTACAGCTGAAGTCACACATCATCACAGTCCCAACTCACCTTGCCGAACAGCAGAGTCTGAAAAAATTAAAGAGAGAGCACGAACCAACTCTTGAGAACTTGCCAAACCAGCTCTTGTCGACACCCAGCTCTTGCCGAATGATAAGAGCCTTGCTGAGGCCGGACGACAAAATCCTCTCACCAAAGACACTTGCAGACCCGGGGGACTCACCAAAACCCCTTCGAGTCTCTTGCCGAATGGCACCTGCCGTCTAAAATTTCTCCTCCTCACAAGCTGTCTCGGAGCCCAGCTCCAACTTCATGCCGAATCGGCAAGAGCTGCCGAAGGACCAACTCAACACCCTTGATCTTCTACCTTGGTATTCTCGGAACCTTACCGATCGGTTAGCTCACAAAGCCCAACTCAGCCTTGCCTATCATCAATAATCAAGATTCACCTCAGATAGGCACTTGCCGAAGTCGTGACCACAAACCCAACACTCGCTTTCTCCTCCTTTGAACGGTAGGCCTTGTCTATACAAAATTTCAAGACCCTAGCCCTAGTGCTCCCAGACCACCCCGACGAAGCAACAAAACTCCTCAAATCACCCTTGTCGAACGGCAAGGATGGTGCTGAATCATGGGCAACTCACCAAAATTAGAGCAGTATTTCCTATGCAGAAACATTGGGGACTCACAAGAACAAACTCACAATTCGAATTATAGGCTCACGTTATCATCAACTTACCAAGATTGCCAAAGCAGCGGTGACTACCGAACCTAGCTTCTGTCCATTCCTACTCAGCCCCGACAGCACGTGAAATGGCCCTTTAGTTGAAGACACCACTGCCAAAGACTTGGAACGAGCTCAAAACAGAGGAGTCACAATTTGCTCAAGACACCCACCACAATCTAGAGCTCCAAGTTACCTTCACGCCTTGCTGAAGACACCACTAGCTCTCAAGATATTTCCAATCCACCCTTGCCGAACGGCAAGTGTAACAACCCGGTCCTTAATTAATATTTAATTATTAATTTATTCCAATAAAAGACCACTATACCCTTAGAATATTTTAATGGTATAAAAGTTGAATTTTTGACTGGGAAGGAATTTTGAGATTTCAGTTATACCGTTACATAGAGCGCAGTGAGATGAGTCCGTAGACACGTAATGGACTCAAATCGGAGTTGTAACGAAGGAGTTACGATTAAAAGAAGTCCAGTGGCATAATCATAAATATTTCGAAGTTCAGATTTTATAAACCCAGAAATTTCTGGATTCGGGGGGAGGGGGAGCAGCTGACTTTGGGAGCTATTTTCTCTCAGCTCCGACCCCCGATTCAGGCAAGACCAGTGCCAAACGAACCACCAAACTTCCCTCTTCCAGTCCCAGCCTCGATCTGCCTCGATCTGCCACCATAGTCTCCGGAATCCGCCACGAAACAGGCAGTGCTTTAAAGTTTTTGACAGAATTTCCAACCTTTCATTCTCTGTCGTCCGGCCATCAAATCAGACGAGTGAGGTATGGTTTTCTAGCTGCTGGTTGGGTAGGATTTCAGAAATTTCGAGCGTAGATAGCTCGATTTACGAATTAGGTTTCAGCCGGTTTTGAGAGCACAGTTTCGGCCACTTTTTGGAGTATGTCCAAGAACAAAAGTTGCTCCTAATGAGGTGTTTTACCTAAGTTAGGAGTTTGGGCCAGTGGTTCGGAGTTTTTCCTGTCGCCGGAAATTGATCAAGCCACCTACGCGCTGCCGGCGCGTGTGGCGGCACGTGAGCAGATTGGTGGAGACCACATTTAGTTTTAGAATGATCCTTGTGTCGTCACGAGTGCGTAGGATTTCACGAATCTCAATTTGGTTAACGTTTGAACCCCTAACGGATCTCACATCTTGTGTGATTTCCGAGTTCAATAGTTTTGCACCGTTGGATTGTAACCATTTTCAGATAGGTTAATCTAAACGTTCCCAGGATCGTATAGTATTTGACGGATCGTAAAACGGAGTCTCGGATACTCCAGGAATGCCAACCCTAGAACCAGGTTTACAGTAAACTATTCAATTACAGATCAGGAACAGAAGAAAGAACTACGTGTGGCTTGATCCTTCAGAAAGGGTACGTAGGCAGCCTACAGTTAGCAGGTGCAGCCACGAGTTGGAGTTTTCCAGTTTGTGTTATTGTTTATCAAGGTATTTTGGTCTTTTATGACCCACAGTCACCAGGTGTCAGTTTTAAACAGGTTCGACCTGGATTCCAAAGTGGAATTTGGGTCAGGTCGTTTCAGCAAGGGTTGCTGAAAGGATACAGGGCAGCTCTCGATCCAAGGTCCTAGACTCACAGCAATCGACCCGGCATCGAAATAAAATCACGCAAGGCCAAGCTCCAATCTCTCCCTTCCAAGAATCAACTCTGAACCCAGCTCCACTCTAGGCAAACCCAGCTTCTAGAGAAGGACCTTCAAATCTCAGCCTGCCGAAGGCCTAGCTCCTAGACCTGACGCCAAGGTCCCCAGCAAACTGATTGCTCTCGCACAAGAAATTGGCACCCTTGCCGAACCATGCTTTCCAAAATCAGGAGTCCAAAACTGATCGGAGTCTCACGAAGCTTCCCTTGCCGAACTTAAAAAGACCCAGCTCCTGGAAACCCTACTTTAACCCACTCACCGCAAGGATTATACAAGCTCAAGCCTCCATCCTTTCCGAACCCTGCAGAAGAGATGGAAGATAACAAAATTTTTCCCTTGCCAACAATCCCTCCCAGCACCAAAAAACTAGCCCAGCCACCCTTGCCGAACAGCAAGGGCTATGCAAATCAAGAGGTGACTTCACAAGCTCATTATAGAGGACCCAGCTCCTAGCGAAGTACCTTTAAATGCCAAACTCGAACCTAGCCTTGCCGACTGCATAGCTCCAGGCCCTGACTCCCGCACGAATTTTCCCTTCAAAGGCCCTTGCCAAACGGCAAGAGACTTGCTGAGGCAAAAAACTCATGCACTCATGTTTCAAACTCCTTCTGCATAGACTCTGCCGAATGGCAATAGCTATATTGATTTATTTACTCTTCTCACAATTTCTAAACCCTAGCCCCAACAAATATCCCCACGGCCATGTCCCAACCCACTCCAAGGTCTTTGCCAAAGGCCTGGGTGCAGAAAATCCTCCCGCTCGGCCTACTTGGTGAAGAACAATGACTCAAGCCTATCTCGGGCTCAGCCCCAAGCAAGGAAAGCCCAGCTCCAAGCCAAGAAGGCCACTCACGTTGGTCCAAAAACAAGGTCATGTGGCCCAACTCCACACTCAGGCTTGGAAGCCCAAACTTAAGCCATTCCAAAGGCCCAAGGGCTACCCCAAAAAAAAAAAAAAAAAAAAAAAAAAAAAAAAAAAAAAAAAAAAAAAAAAAAACCATGCCGAATGGCATGGACTGCTGAAGCAAGGAAAAGCTCACCCACTTCTTCCCTTGCCAGGGCCTAGCTCCCAAAGCCCAAGGACACAACCCCGGCCTCCTTGTCAAACATCGAAGACCTTGCTGAACACCTAGGTACCCAGCTACCAATGGTCCTAAAGGCTCAAACAACTACCAAGTGTTAACGCAACTTCTAGCTTGCCAACTTGGGGGACTATGGAATGCCCTAGGGCTCCCACTAAACCTGGAATGCTCAGTCATGATTACACAAAAATCTAACAAGTTCCCAACCCAGAAGTTACTTTTTGACCGCGAACTTGGGGGGCTACTGTTTACACCATAATCAACCGAGCATATCCAGCCTTGAAACAACTAGCACCATGGTAGACGCGCCTCCTCCCCTACCGAAGGAAGACACTATTCCAAGGTGCTAGACACCTGCCGAAGCTCTCAAAATGCCGAACCTAATCTCCAAGACAAGTGTCACCACCACAGTGACTTGCACAAAGTCCCACATAGAAATTCTATGCAAACCGCACAAAGTTCCACATCGAAATTCTATGCAAACCGCCCACTTTCACCTTCCTATAAATAGGGAATAGTATCCACGTGAATGAGGGACTTCTCTCCACTTAGAAGAGGATCCGGGTCTTGGAGCTAGACCCTTGGGCCTTGGACTCTCTCTCTTCTAGATCCCTGGCCTGGGCATCTCACTTGTAATCTTTATGTTTGGGTCCAACCTCATGTATAAATGTAATCATACATTATCATAATGAGAACATACTTCTCCCTGGACGTAGCCTATTCATTAAGGGTGAACCATGTATATTTCGTCTTCTTTATATTTATCGCTTGCCCAAATCCTCACACACACGCTGAAGGTCCTCACCTTCACCCATCATCCACCATTCTACATCTATCTAAGTTGACCTCCCAAAATGAGCATCAACACCAATATTATAGAGTGATAGTGGGGTAAAAATAACTCCATTTGGGAATAGGAAAGAAAAAATATTTTTTTATTCTCATTTTTCCTCGTGGTTTTTACTTTATCACGGGTTTTACGGATACGAGTTTCACCTAGTTTGACCACCAAGGCACAACACCGACCTTTATTTTGGCATTTTGAACATCAAAAACAAGATCGTTAGCGCCACAATGCATACATTCCCCTGCTTCTCTCGTCTCTCTCTCTCTCTCTCTCTCTCTCTCTCTCTCTCTCTCTCTCTCTCTCTCTCTGTTTCTCTGCAAACCCAAACCCTGACCACTACACTGCACTCCTTAGTTTCCAAAACTCGTCTATCTCTTTTTCTCTTTGTTCCCAGTGTTGGGTTGAGTGGTTTAAAAAGAAACGAGTTCTCGCTCTATTTTTCTACCAAGATCGAGTGGTTTTCTGGGTTCAAGAAGGAGCGAGTTCTCTCTCTCTGCTTCGCTGCAACGATTTGTGATTTTTGGGTTTAAAAAGTAGCGAGCGGGTTCTTTCTCTCTCTCTCTCTCACTGTCCAAGAATTGTGCGAATTTTGGGTTTTGGAGTCGAGAATCGAGAATGGCGTCGTCTACTCGAAATCAAAAGCGTAAACAATTGGGGGATGGCGTTGCTCCGTTTGAGTTTCGGTTTCAGACCCAGAAGAGAGAGAGGTCTTCTAGGGTTTTGGAGAGCGAACGGATAGTAGCCGTGGATGAAAAGGCAACTGCTTCTCTTCCTCTGCGCAAGGGTTTCTCACCCAAACAGGGCAAGATCATCCCTTTGGCTTCGTCTGCTAGAAAGCGTAGACAATCGGAGGAGCTGGGGTTTGATGGTCTCTGTCAGACCCAGAAGAGCAAGAGGCAAAAACTAGGTTTTGATTTTGATTGTTCTGAAATTTTGGGTTATCCAATGAACCTCCGCCATGTGAGTAGGTACTTTGAGAAGCCTGCTGAGAATTTGCCGGGTTATTCCCATGACATCTGGAGGCCCATGGATTTTGGTACTATGAAATCCAAATTGGAGAGGGGTGTCTACTCCAGCGCTGATGGATTTGCGGCTGATGTGAGGCTTACCTTGTCAAATGCTTTAAGATATTATCCGCATGGGAGGATTGAGCATGCAACAACCAAGCATCTCAGTGGTGTTTTTGAGAGCAAGTGGAAAGAAGCTGTGAAGAAAAACCCCAAGTCTTTTTGTCCTCCTCCTCTGCCCAAAGTCAAAGGTTTGGCAGCGTCCCCCAAACTAAAACAAGGCAAGACCTCTTCTCCTTTTAGCGTTCTTCGAAGTCAACGGCTTTAGGTTTCTGATTCTCAGTCAGTTGATTCAACCAAACACGATGACTTGCCCACCCTTATTGATCATGCCATGGATCAGGCCTCAGAGAATCTTTCTCCTTGTAAGGCTAGCCGAATTCATGTACTGAAGCTACGTTTTCAGGTACAATATTGAAAGCAAATAAGATACTTAAGTGTGTACCTGATTCTCTACCAAGGAGAAAATCAACGCAGCAAATGAAGCAAAGGGAGTCGTCTCGCCGTGCCATTTGGAATATGGAGAAGTCAGTGCAATTTGAGGACCCTTTACAGGATCTCAAACAACTGGAGATGCTGTGCGGCTGTGGCAGTGAAGAGTCAGCCTCGGATTGCCTCTTAAGAAATTGGGTGTATACCTCAAGCAAGATGATGAGTTGCAAGGTCAAGATGAGGAGGCCTTTTTGAATGGAGATTGGGAGGAAGGAGAAATCTGGTGGGAGGAAGGCGAGATTTGTTCATGAATTATAGACACTGAGCATAGGTTATAGGCCACCTTGGCTATATTATTTGTTGTATATGATATGATGTATAGGTTAGAGTTTCCACTTTGTAATTAATTGATTACCAATTCTTTAATTTCTAAGAATAAAGAAATTGAGGATGTGATTCTGAATTAACAAAATTTTTCCAAGTCAAATGATATTATTGAAGTTTCTATTTTTGTTCGTTCTCTAATTCGAATTTGTTTCTGGCGCTATATTTTCTCTGTTTGAGGAAGTTGGTTCTTGTATAGACTATTACTTTCCATATAAATTTTGGCCATATACGTCATACATTATACAGACAAGGCGTAATGCAGACCCTTATGGGAAAGTTCTTCTTTCATGGATTCAAAGACCTTTGGCTCCAAGGATGCCCCCTGAATTGGCTTAGGATAGCTTGTAGTAATGGCTGTTTGACATCAATCACTGTAAATGATGCTGGCCTGGTTGGTGAGTTCAGCTCTTCAGCCTTTACTGGCCTTAAAATGCTTCCCAATTTGTTGATTTCAAACAACCAACGGACGGGGACCATCTCAAAGTTGAGGTATAAAGATGTTCGAATGACGAAGAATCAAATAAGTTTATGGTGTTCGAATTACAACACCAACAATCCAATAGGAAGCACAACAAAAAAACTAATCTGTGATATCACATGAACAAGAACATCAAGATTGTCCCAGATGTTGATACCAACAGATAAACAGAAGTTAAAAACATACCATACAAATTGAAATAAAATAGCAAAATGCACAATTGAACAACAAACAAAATATAAGCTTATAAGCCACAGATCCACCACCATAACCAAAACCCTCAAAAGCCGAGAGAACTGAAACCATGAAATAGGAAGGAGGTGGTGCAAGCACCCGAGCCGTAGCACCGCTGTGGCTATACACAACTTCTGAGATTTACGCAAGAGATCGTGTTTCGGATTAGCCGCAATATCCAAGAGACGCAACCAGATCGAGATGGAAGAGTGAGGGACCCCAGCTCCACCAGATTCGAAATTGACGCACCTAGAAGATAAAAACAACCAATCGGGGGATAGCCAAAGGACATTTTTGAGGGGAAAGGTATAGTGAAGATTTGGGGATGCAAACAGGGAAGGGGGCATGATGCCACAGAAACGAGCAGGTGAAGCTTGAAACACGTCACCAGCCCTCGAAAGAGAGAGCTATGAACTGAGCAAGATGGGGATTCCAAATGCTCCGAGAGAGAATCGTCGAAAGGCTAGCAAGATCCAAGAGAGAATGAGGGAGGAGGAGCCCCCTCTCCCCCACCCCCCGCACGCGCGCGCTAGATCTAGGGTTTTGTTATTTGGGAGTGGCGCTAAGTTCCTTATGAACCGTGGACTACTCGAATTAGACTTGGGGAAATAACCTGTGAGGTTATGTTTTAAAGGCGAGGCGTTTTTAATCTACCATATGAGGCGTAAGCCTTGAAGCAATGAGGCATAAGCCTTTTGAACATTAATTTAATTTGATTAAAAAAATTATAAAAAATATAATATGGATAAATTGTACTACTAATTCTTATTAAGCCAAAATATTCTATCAAATATAAGTATTAATTATCATTCAAGCGTAATAATCAATCCCAAAACATAAAATACTTATTCAACATTAAAAGAAAAACTCAATTCATGCATCCCACTCCTCATCATGAAACATCAAATGCTATGATATTTGACATTTATGTGTGGACTTGAGTATTATTTTTAGTAGATTTTATGGATATTGTGTTGTTTGGAAAAAAATAAAATAAAAAACTAACATATATATATATATGTATATATACATGAATCTAGTACAAAGAGAATTACATACAGGGATATACAGATAGGTCCATTAAAATTGATGGAGAGAATTAAAAGTGATGCAGATTATCCATTAATGTATTTATTTAGAAGAAAAAATAAAAGGGAAGTATTGTTTGTTTCAGTGGGGGGTTAAAAGGCATGATGTCACCCAAAACGTGCGTTTAAGACACTCAGTTCCCAAAACAACTTAAGTAACTAGATGAAACGACGTCGTTTTCTTAAAACAAACCCTTACCAAAAAAAATTCAAGCGAGGTCGTATTCTTCCTCGCGCTCTGGCTTGCATACAGCGGCGCTTCTTCGTGCCTTCCACGCCTCGCCACGCCTCACCACGCCTTGCTACGCTAAGCGTGCAACAAGCTAAACATCCATACGCCTAAGGTGATTTCCCTCTACCTCACTCCGACGCACGCTTCCAAGCGCGCTTAGGCATGCTTTTGAAAACACTTATAATTTAAATCTACAAGACTAAGATTTGGTTGGTGAAAATTCTCTCTGGGGATTTTCCTTGCAAGTGGCAATCAAAGAGTCCAAGAGTTGGCAAAGAAGAAGAGATATTCTTGAAGGAATCAAGTACCACTGAAGAAATGTCAACATCGGACAGTTGAAGCTCCTTAAGATTGGTTAGGTTTTGAACAATTCTGTTCAAGCCATCAGCTAGGGAGAGATTGAGTGAAACTAGAAAGGTTGGAAATTTCGGAAGGGATTAGGCCACTGAAATTGGAGTCAGAGAGGTCAAGGTGAGTCATACTTACAAAGCCACCAAATTTGGACGAAATTGAGGAACCTCTGAAATCAATTCTAGAGAGGTCTAGCCTCTTGAGATGGCCAAGAGAGAATAAGCTGTTATTGAAATGGATATTGCATTGAAGCCCGCCAGAACCAAGGTTGAGACCGATCACATAACCAGTCATCTTTTCACAAGTAACTCCATTCCATGTGCTACAATCCTTGCCTTTCTGCCAATAAATTGTCCTATTAGAATAGGAGTGAAGGGTATCAATAGAAAAGGAGTTTTTGAATGGTCACCACCGCTTCATATTGGGCCACATTGCATCTACGCACTCACCCACTCATTAGGCAATGTGGATCACATATATATTTGCGAATGCTTGTGCCTTTTTCCCTCATTTTTGCCCTTAAAAAAAATTCCCTCAATGTCATTTCTATTTTGATAATTATAATCTTATAGTTTAATAATTTTAGCAATTAAGTCCAAATTAAGGGTAAGCATTCATTTTTCTCCTTAACATATTTCACAGATTTATTACCCATATTTGTTTTGACTAAATTAAAGACTTCAATTATATGAAAGTAACGAGTTGAGAACTTATGGTCAATTTTTTTAGGCTTAGATACTAAAATGGTTCCTGTGTTTTACTACGTTGGATAATTTAGTCCCAGCTTTTTTAATTTGGCAAATTCGGTCCCTGTGTTTAGGACCGTTATTCAATTTGGTCATTCCATTAAAATTGCCGTTATATATGAACATAATAATCTTTTTTTTTCTTTTGAAAACCTATAAAGCTTTTTTCATTTAAAAAAATATCAACAACATAACACTAGAAAAACAAAAATAAAAACATGAAAAAAAAGGATGGGCATAGTCAGGGAGGGTAAGTGCTGCTTAGCAAGTGGAGTAGTGGAGAAATGGCTACGCAATGGTTGGGTTGGAGAAGATCTCGCTGGGAGTGGTCGGGGGGTAATGGCCTTTTGCCTTTTGTATTTGAGAGAGAGAGAGAGAGAGAGATATATATATATATATATATATATATATGGGGCGGATCCGTGGCACCATATTTTTGACACAAGTTTTGACATAATTTTTGGGCCATCAGATTACTCCACTTTTAATGGTTGAGATTCAATTTGACATGACAAATAGTTTTAATGTTTTAAATAAACAATCATTAATTTTATTTTCTCTCATAAAAATAAAATAAAATAAAATTCTCTCTCCTCCCTTTTTTTTTGGAAACGTAATCTTTTTTTTGATACTATCCTTTTTTACTTGGGACTCTAATCTCTCTTCTTTCTCACACATTCCCCTCTCTCTCTCTCTCTCTCTCTCTCTTTCATGCGACCAAAAAAAACCTCCACCTCCATCTTTTTTCCTCATCTCTCTCTCTCTCTCTAACAAGAAAAAATAGGCCTTTCATGTTCAACATCCGTCTGGGCGGTATCAACGTCAGCCGGCCTTGTCTCTCGTTACAGAGTTGAGAATCATTCCATTTTATTGAGATCTGGATTTGAACAGTGAAGATTTCTAATTTTATAATCTGGGTTCTGTTCAAATTTCAAAGCTGTGAAGCAACTGGCACTGGATTCTGTTCATAGTTTCCCTCAGAGTTAGCTTCCTGTGAGTTAAATTTTATGATTTTGATGTGATTTCAATTATGGGTACTTTCATTTTTGTTATTTATGTTGTTGTTTTGGATTGGTTTTTGATGATTTTCATGCTAACTTTATATTTGCAAGGGGCATGAATTAGTTTATGTTTCATTTTTAAACTCAACTGGTCAAAGCTGAGAAATTTTATGCTTGCAGTTATTGCACTGTTAGTTTCCTTCAGCTTCTATTGGCTCTCAGCTAGTATGCTTGTAAATTTTGATATTTTTCAATATTGTTTCGGAGGCTAACTTAGTGTGTATGCTCAATGATATGCTTAAATATCTATTTCTGGTTGCTGGTGATTGAGAATTCTATTGCTAATGTGACATTTTGTTCTTGCAGAGGTTGAGTTCAAAAACCAAGTATGATGCTTTGGATAAACTAAATGAAGAGCTTGTAAGCATCTTTTATATCTCTTATTTCAAAATCAATCTTGCTTTATTCATGCTGTGCAAATCCCATATTATGTTCTGTCAACATCTAAGGTCTCGTTAACTGATGCACAGACTACAAGGAAAAAAGATGGAGGTGGAGGTTTTTTTTGGTTGCAGGAAAGAGAGAGAGAGAGAGAGAGAGAGAGAGAGAGAGAGAGAGAGAGAGAGGGGTATGCGTGAGAAAGAAGAGAGATTAGAGTCCCAAGTAAAAAAGGATAGTATCAAGAAAAGAGATTACAAAAAAAAAAAAAAAAAAAAAAAAAAAAAAAAAAGAGAGAGAGAATTATTTTATTTTATTTTTATGAGAGAGAAAATAAAATTAATGATTGTTTATTTAAAACATTAAAACTATTTGTCATGTCAGATTTAATCTCAACCATTAAAAGTGGAGTAATCTAATGGCCCAAAAATTGTGTCAAAACTTATGTCAAAAATATGGTGCCACGGATCCGCCCATATATATATATATATATTAGAGGTGGGATAGATTAGAGTTGGGGCCTTTGGGTGGGGAGAAAGTGGTTGGGGTAGGGATAGAAAAGGTTGTGGGTTGTTGCTGGGGGGAAAAAGGTGAGAGAGAAGGGAAGGTGGCTGAGAAAGGCGGATTTTTCTATTTTTGTTTAGTTCTTAAATTTTTTAATGAATATTTAAATAATTTAAAAAAAATTTAACTGAAATTTAACGGAATGGATCAGATTAAGTAACAGTCATGAGCACAAGGACCAAATTGGCTAAATTTTGTATTGAAGAAGCCGGGAATGAGTATATCATAAATTCACCATCAAAATCGTTCTTGACTTTTGCTCCCTTCTTAAGCTCTCATTAATTCTTCACGGTTTTGTAAATTGGCTAAATTGAAAACATAGGGATTAAATTAGCCAATGTAGTAAAACACAGAGACCATTTTAGCATTTAAGCCATTTTTTTAAAGTTTGTCCAATTTGCTGTCAAAATATGTCACCCCACACAATCACTTGTTGTGGATTAATTTTTGTATTTTTCTTTTTAAAACTTTTGAACTGTTCAAAAATGTCATATGTTCTGCAAAATGTCATGAGGTCCATAGTGCTAAGATGGCAAGTACTTGAGTTTGTTTCCTGCAAAATCAGCAAGCAAGCATCTTTTGACATCGAGGGTGAAGCTATTCTATATTGTCAGATGGGTGTAACTAGGAAATTATTGTAACTAGTTAGTTACCAGGCTTTGATTTGATCTTTGGTCTTTGGTCTTGGTAAGTATCTTTAGTCAATACTTGTCCAAATATGCGAAAAAAAGTTTGGATAAGGAGAAAAAAATTGTTTGGATTTTTAAAGAGGTATCAAAACTTTCGTTGTTTGTCTTTCATTGCTTGCTCAAAAAAATCAGCCAAAACGCATTGCACCTTATCCAAACGATCGAGCTGAGAAACATGTACACCGCTACAACTTGTAGCTGTACTTGCACTCCCAAAGGGCATGCCACGTACACTCCTCAATCAGAATTGATTAATTAATTGTCAATTGCATGGTCATAGTCAATTTTTAAGTTGATTCGTATTGTACCCTCAGTTTTGTGGGCAAGTACTACTTAATTATACAGGCTATTTAGTGATTTAATTTTTTTCCTTTCCTTGTATTTTTTGGAATGAGAAGAATTATAGGAGTTGTGGGGGACTTTTTCTTCCTGCAGCTAATGGGCTGGGCTGCTGCAAAAGGCAGACTGAGGAGATTGCCCCCTTTTGTTTAGGTTCGAAAATTAAGCCCCAAAATACCTCGAAAGGGCAGCAAAACCTTAGGAGATATTTTGGATAATCTTCACCAATGAGAATAATGGTGACCTGCAGATAGTTTTGGCATGCTTACAGATGGTCTTTTTAGCTCAGCATGAGTGGCATGTGGCATGAGAGCAAAACCAACATGAGTTTAGCATTAAGAGAGAAATTAGGCTTGGTTTATGAGAAAAGAAAGTGTTTAAGTAAGGAATGAGGTGTTTTGTGAGGAATTTGACTAGGGAAAGAGGAAAAAGAAAGGCAGAGTTCTTCTGGCAGCTGCCAGAAAAACAAATTGGAGAAGAAGATGAACAGTGCACGAGCTTGTTGAGTTTTTGCAAGTTAGAGAGAAAGCTTGCTCTCTGCAGGTTGTGGGTTGTCTCTGTTGGGTAGGGGAGGGCTCAATTTATAGCTGCTGGAAATCACCATTTTTCAAGAAACCCTAATGGCTTCTACTTATTTTGGCTAAGTTTTTTCTTCCTTTCTCCTCCTCTTCTCTGACTTCCCTTTCTTGGCAAAGATTGCTTCTGTCTATTTACATGAATTCAGGGGATTTGGGGGCTCAACATCCTCCTTTCCCGCAGCTGTGCAGTGGGAGCTTCCACTCTTGGTTTGCTGTTTTTCCTTCTTTCCTTTCCTTTGTTTTAACCAAATCTGGCGAAGGAAAGGAAGTGAAGATGCATACTGGTCCAAGGAATGCTTCTGACAGCATGCGGGATAGTACTCATCGATTCTTTGGATGTCTCTGGCTTGGGACTTGTTTCCAGCAACTTTGCTTAAGGAGTCTGCCAACCTCTCTTCACGTGTCCTCTGTTTTCTTCAAACAAAAACTGAGGTTTTTGTGGACTATTTTAGGATTTTTATATGGGCCAAGGTGATTTTCTAAGCAGAGGGTTTTTATTAAACATTGGGCTTCTTAGTTTGGGCTTTATTTTGGTTGGGTTGTTTTGCTTGGGTATTGGGCTATTTTTTCTCTTGTGCTTACCCATATGTTTGGGCCTAAGAAATGGGCTTGAGCCTCGAGGCTCCCAAGTAACCCGAGACTTTTCATTTCCCGGCCCATCAATGGGCCTCATGTTGATTTATTACCATCCATGCCACAACCCACTCAAGCAAGCCCCGGGCATTTGAGTGGCTTGGGCCCACTTAAGCTTGTAGTGCGATTGGGTGTGAAATAATAATTTCCTGCTTGGCATGCTTTTAAATATGCCGCTTGATAGGATAATTGGCATGGATTTGCATAGCTAAATGCATTTTATAATTTTATTCTCAATTCCTAGCTCGACGGATTTTTTATTTAGCAGGGCGTGCGGAGTATGAATCGTGTATGTCATACTTTCATGTGCTCCAAATCGGATCTTTTTCCAATAATATATATCGTCTTGGGCTAGAAATTTATTTGGGCCCAACCATGGATTTTTTGGGCCTCAACATTAGCCCCCTTAATTATTAGGGCCATGGATAAGTGCTGGAATGGGCCGAATAATTAAACCCGACCCAAAAATCAAATTTATACGCTCCAGCAATGATTTGTGGTTTCCCAATCTGGATTGTTTTTGGTGTTTTGTAGAGATTGCTTTGGATTGCCAAGAATTGCTTCCCCATCTTGTCTGAATTTATGATTATGCCACTGAGTTTGCATGTATTTACATTTATGCCCCCAATCTTGCTTGAATCTACTATTCCACCACCACCTTTGCTTATGTTTCAAATTCTGCCATGACTTTTGCTTGGATTTACGGTTCTGCCACAATTCTGTTTTCCTCATTTGGTTTCTTCTTTCTTTTCTTTCCTCTTCCGTGTCTTCTTTCTTCTTCTTCTTCAAGAATCCAAACCCGTGGGTACTATTCATCAATTTAGAAGCTCCATTTCGGAAGTTCTAATAAAAAAACTTTCTTCATGAAAGTTGTTCATCTACTCGAGGACTAAAGCCTGTAAACTTTTGAGAATTTTCTGAATTTTTCTGATGCCTTAAAACGGGTCCGCAGCTTCTGTATTCATCAATGGCTGGTGAGTTTCTGCAGATTCGGTTTCTGCACTTGTTTTTAATATCTACTACTCTGGTGACTGTGCTTGCTTCATGAAATTTGCTTGAGATCGGGTTGTTTACAACACATCCAAAATTGAGAATCATCCAACCATTGTAGTGTTCTCTGCCCTCATTTTTCTAAAGTATGCGTATGGATTGATGTTGACCCCTTTAATGCATGCTTGTTTTCTTGAAGCTTGAGTTCCTTTGTATTTCTCAAAATTTGTGAATTAAGCACTGAATTCTGTGGTTGAGCTTGTGATTTAGTGTTTCAGCTTGGTGATAAACAAGACTCATACAAGCTCCCCTTGAATAATGCATGCCAAGTGTTTGTGATAAGTAACTCATAATAGCTTGCTGGCTGTTTTGTGAACTTTTGAAAACTTTCTTTTCGAATCTAAGTTGGAGCTTTTGATACATGAAAATAGACTTCTCAATGGTTGTGTTGGAACTGGTCTTGTGTCATTTGAAGCAAAAATGAATTTTGGAGTAATTACAAAGTATGGGGCTAAGCTGCTGGGGTTGTGCAATTCCTGCTGCATGACATGTTTTGGGAATCTGTTTGGCAGCATTCCCTAACTCCAAATGTAATGAAATTTTGGGAAAATGAAGCTTGATATGTCTAGTTCTAATCTGGAAAGTTTGGGATTTGTTGGTTGTAAGCTTGATTTATAGTGATTTTCTAAAGGTGGGATGTTCTAGCTAGGATGGTTGGAAAGCTTGTGTATAAGTTTTGCTTGGCGTGCTGCTTTTTGTTGAGAATTTGGCATGTCCTTTTTGTTGGCATTGAGTGCTGATCTGAGTATTGCTAGAGCATGTCCTTGAGCAATATTGTTGTGACAGCATGATGTTGAAAGGTATTGTCATAAGAGCATGAGTTCTTCAATTTGCTTGAAATGCCCGAATTGCTTGGAATGCTTGAATGGAATGAAATTTCTTGGCATGTGGATTGGTTTCAAGCCTTGTGAATTTTGTCAAATGCTTGATACATGAGTTTGCTTGCATTATGAGAAAATTATGCTTCTGGCGCCTCCATTTGTGTATGAGTACCTTTCCGGCTTCTGATTTTGGCTAAAGTATTCTTTTGTTTAGAAACTCCAAAGCATGAGAAAGCATGAGAAATATAATTTTCTAGGATTTTGATAGCATGAAAGTGAGTTTTGGTCTCTTGCCACTTGTCTTTTAAAAAAAATATGTTTCAATAGCGATTATGCTTCCGGTGCCCCCTTTTCGTTTCAGTCCCTTCCAGCACCTGATCTGACCAACGTACTCCCTTATTTCTTTTTCAGGCTTGATTGAGAGATTCCACAGCATGAGAAATGCCATCTTCTTACTAATTTGCAAGGAATTTGGTAGCATGAAGGTGAGTTTTGGTTGCTTGCACCTTGACTTGCGATATGAAGGCTTTTGGAAGATTTGAAACTGGCAGAATGTTTGAAATTAGGCATGTACTGGAAGGATGTTTGAAATAGGGTAGGTGCTAAAAATTATTCGCTTATGGAGTAGGTGCTGGAAGAATGTAACTTGGCTTGTTTCAAAAAGGGGAAATAGAAAACTATTTCTCACCATAATGCAAGATTATCTAGGCTTGTTGTAATCAAAAAGATGATTTATACTGTGTGGCAAAAAAGGTAGATGGGTTTGCTTGTTTGGATGGCATGGTGTCCTTCCTTGAATTTGCTTGGCATGAAGCCCTCAAGTCAGCTTGTTGAGGTCAGCAATTGGTTGCAGAGTTGGGTTATATTCTCTTTGGCTTACTCAGGGTCGAGAAACAAAGTAGAGGCCTGCTTGTAAATTTTTTTATTTTTTTTTTTTTTTGCAACTTGCTTCAAAGAAGATCTTTGGAAGAAGTAGACTGAAGATGAGAAGGAAGAGGCTAAGCGAGTTGCTGGAAGAGATTCATACAGCTTGTTTTCCTCCAGATAAGTAACAAACAGTTTGCTTTCCTCCAAGAGGAAAACTGAAATTTACAACAGCTTCAGGATTCTTGTCTCTCTCTTTTGCTTGGCATGAAGCCCCCAAGTCATTTGGAGTTTGCATGTGCTGTTTGCTATGATGGATTCTCTTAAGCCCCCATAAGCCTTTCGCAAGATGTTTTGTCTGAAAAGCTTTAAATTTTGCTGTAGTGCAATTGCATGAATAAAGCTTGTGATTTTTCAGGAGTTGTCGTATAGCCATGAGAAGAAGTTCTTGCAAGTATTAGTTGCCGAAGTATCCATCTTCAGAAAGACCAATTCTTAAGTATGCCTGAAAATAATGATGGTGCCAAAGTCTGCGCAGAAAAACATGGGGATAATTGCAATGATGGGTCAGCTGGTTGCATAAATAATGAGATCAACAATGGTGCTGAAGGAGATGGTAACGTGAAATAGAAGATACGATATTCTTTTAGCACCAACTACCCTTCTCCCAGCACCAACTACCCTTCTTCCAGCACCAACCTCCCTTCTTTCTTGGTGCATTTGAGGTCGTCCTTTGAGGTGATTGACAAGGTATGCCCTTTCCTCTTTGCAATTTCTTGAATCTATCGAGGGGCTTGTTGGGTTCTTCATGCCCATGGGCTTTGCTCGTTCACTGGAATCTCAGGTCCTTCTTTTTAACTCTGTAGAAATATATATAGACTGATATCTTGGCCTAGGCTTGTTTTTCGCATGCTTGAATAAATTTGGACTTTTCTCCCATGTTGTGGAAATAGAAATTGATAGAGTGCATGCTCTGCAATGCTTGAATCCTTTTGCATTTTGAGGGAGAATTTGCTTGTCATGGGAATTGCTTGAAAATTTCGCTTGCCATGGATAAATTGTATGCTGCTTGGGTATTTGCTTAAGTGTTTCCTTTGGCCTGAGCTTGACTTGCCCTGCTTGGCGTATATTTTGCGTGTGCTGCGTTCTTGACCCGCTTTTTTGTTGTTGAACTATATGCATCACGAGCGCATGCTTGTAATCGTATGATTAATGCATAGGATTAGAGGCTATTGAAAGCTTTGAGAAAAGCACCATTGGTTTCTTTTTTTTTTTTTTTATTTTTATTTTTATGAGCTTAGAATTTGGTCATGGATAACTGTTTATTTTTTTGGCTTTATAGGGATAGACATAAACATGTGTATGATGGGTCTGCAAGGATGCTGTGTAACTCGTAGGTATTTCATTTTTGTGAAAAGGGTTACTATGAGGTAAATAGTGCTTAGTTTGTAGCACTTGCTTTGTGAAAAAGGGTCTGCTGGAATGATTGATTGAGCATGGAATGGGAAATTTGCTTATCATGAGCTCGAGTAATAGATTGCATGATGCTTCAAAAATATTTTTTTTGTTTATGCATTTCGCTTGGCATGAGATAGCTTGCTTTGCTTGGCTTGTAAAGTTCATATGGCTTGCATGCTAGTGTGGAGATTGCTTGGCTTTAACACAGAGAACTAGCTTTATGCTTTGCCGTTTTTTCAGCGTATTCTTTGTTGGCAATTCTTGCAGGGATTCATCGCTTGTCAAGACCTGCCATGGCATCCACTAACCCGTCGTCAATTATTAGTGGCCACCTTTATTCAACGGATGATAAATTGAAGAGGGGAAGGCCCCCTCCATTGCTCAAGAATGCTTGTGAAGATGTTGCAGTAGGCGAAGAGCCATTGTCGTCTTGCTGCGTTTGTATCATTATGGCTCGGGAAATTCCTTCTCTGTGACTTTTCCCAAGATTGTTTGCATGCGCAGGCGTTCCCCTTGGCTTTAGCAATAGCGCATGGCGGCATGATTCCCATAGCCCCCATGTTCTTGGGACATCCGATGCAGGGGCAGACAATGCCCTGCTCCTTCTAGCAGTGCTGCCTCATACTCCTCCTCTTCTCGGAACATCCGACATGGCTGCTGACACTGCCCTGCACCTTCCAGCAGTGCTGCCTCCAACTCATCCTCTTCTCAGAACATGCGACATAGCTGTCGGCGCTGCCTTGCATCTTCCAGCAGTGCTGCCTTCTACTTCTCCTCTTCTCGGAACATCCAACATAGCTGCCGGCATTGCCCTGCACCTTCCAGCAGTGCTGCCTCCTACTCATCCTCTTCTCAGAACATGCGACATAGCTGCCGGCGCTGCCTTGCATCTTCCAGCGGTGCTGCCTTCTACTTCTCCTCTTCTCGGAACATCCAACATAGCTGCCGGCATTGCCCTGCACCTTCCAGCAGTGCTGCCTCCTACTCATCCTCTTCTCAGAACATGCGACATAGCTGCCGGCGCTGCCTTGCATCTTCCAGCGGTGCTGCCTTCTACTTCTCCTCTTCTCGGAACATCCAACATAGCTGCCGGCATTGCCCTACACCTTCCAGCAGTGCTGCCTCCTACTCATCCTCTTCCCAGAACATGCGACATAGCTGCCGGCGCTGCCTTGCATCTTCTAGCGGTGATGCCTTCTACTTCTCCTCTTCTCGGAACATCCAATATAGCTGCCGGCACTGCCCTGCACCTTCTAGCAGTGCTGCCTCCTTTTATTTCGCAGGTTGTTTTCTTTAGCTTGGGGTCAGCTGCTCGTGCACCTTCCAGCAGTGCTGCCTCCTACTCATCCTCTTCTCAGAACATGCGACATAGCTGCCGGCGCTGCCTTGCATCTTCCAGCGGTGATGCCTTCTACTTCTCCTCTTCTCGGAACATCCAACATAGCTGCCGGCACTGCCCTGCACCTTCTAGCAGTGCTGCCTCCTTTTATTTCACAGGTCGTTTTCTTTGGCTTGGGGTCAGTTGGCTCGGTGCACAGCTTCCATCTTTCTTGATACCATAGGATGTACTAATCTTCTGCATGTGTAACTTTGTTTTTGCGATGGCTGTGTACTTTTCAGATAATCTAACGACTATGTCATTGTGACTTTGTAATGTACTACTAAACCACTGGAACTTGCATTAATTTCTGAATGCTTGAGGCATGTTGTAATTGTACATCTTATATATATATATATATATATATTGCTTGGTTGGGAGGACTTGCTCTTGTGAACTTCTTGAAATTTTCTGACAAGTTGGCAAGCCTTAAAAACAAGGTATATGCTGCCCAAAATTTTGACAGGACCTCTAAGCTAAATCTTCTATGCATTGCTCTTTAAAACTTTTGCAAGGCTCGTCTACTCATTTGGCCTAAAATGCACCCTCTTTCCGTGCCTTAAAAAGGGTCAGGCCACTGTATGCATGATTTCCACGAAGGCTCCTGTAAGAATTGCCGATGTTGTGAAGTTTTTTTGAGCATTCCGATTGGGAGTCAACGGTTTCGTTATTCCAGCGCCTCAAAATACACTTTTACTGCTCATTTCTTTGTAATAGCTTGACTTTGCATACCCCACATCGTTTTGTTTAGGCTTGATGCTTGTTTCAGTTTGGGACCCCATCTAAGTGGCTTTGCTTGGCATAGTTACTGCTGAGAGGCTTAGCCTTTTAATGAAAAGTTTGTTTGTCTAATTTTTTTTTTTATCAAAGAACATGTTTTGTAAAACAGAATAAGATAAAAGCAAGGAAGAATTCTAGAGGCTTTTTCATCTTCCAAAATACTCCATTCTCATTGCAAATATCGTCTTACACCTCGGCATGCTATAATGGTGGTGCATTTTACAAAAGTTGTGAAAGCATAGGGTGAAAATACATAAGGAGCTCATTTTTGAAATAAATTTTGAAAAGCCAAAAACCAAATGATAGGTGCAAAAGCAATTCAGCAATAATAAGACCTTGAGCCACTTTGCATTGATGAATACTTCAATTAAATCAAGCCCCCAAATATGAAAGGGCCCAAGGTTGTGCATGACTTGTAATAGCATGAAAGCTTGTGGCTTAGGTTGGCATGTATTTGGCATGTGCTGTACTATGACGCCATGCTCTGTAGAGATATTTAACAGAGCCACAGTTGCTGCTTTGCTTGCCTGCAGCTCATAACCCAACTAATCAAAGAGTGATTTGCAGCTCCTAACCCATTGTACTTTCTTCAACCTCTGTGAAGTTATGAGAGGTTACAACAGCTGCTTCTTGATAATCTTGATGACCAAATGAAGCCTCCGAGTGGCTTTCTTCCAGCATGTCCAATGTGAATACTTCGCTGCTGGAACCATTCTCTCATCCATTAGCAAGTAGCCATGGGGTGTTATAGCTTGCAGATTTTGAATATTTGCTTCAGTTGGCCTTCTTCATATTTCCACAAGGTTCCCACATAGCCTCCGGTGGCTTTGGGTCATTCTTCCACGGGTGGCACAATACGTCGTCGTCGAGCAAGTCATCAAAGCACGTAATGACAGTAGCCATCTACTTTCCCCTTCGTTTTGGCAAGGGGTCCTTGTCAATAGCTTGCCTCTTAGAGTTCTGTCATGTATCTCGGCGTGTAAGATTTTCCTTAGAGTATGGCAAGCAGTGGTGGATGTTGCAAGTGAAGAATGGATGAATATAGGAAAATACGCTTTCAGCACCCCTTTTCTTGAAAGCTTGACATCGCTTCAAAAATTCTAATTGCTTGGTAAAATAAACTTCATCTTGACAACATTTGGGTTCTTCCAGCAGTATCATAGCACTACCTTCGCAATATTTTCCTTTCATTTGCCATGAATTGAGATGTTTTCCTTCTTGAGTAAAACATAGTTCTTGGATTTCTTGACTAAGGCTTGGGGCTTGATGATGCTTGATTATGGAATAGACATCCCGATAGCCTTTTGGTTTTGACTCCTAAACTTGGTCATTGGAATGGTCAAGGCTTAGAAAGTGCTTGAGGCGTTGGAGCATATCAGTTATGGCAACTTAGGTATTGTTTGTTGCAGCTGTTGTGAACATGTTTTAGGAACCAAAAGCTTGGACTTGGCTATTGAAGCTTGAGCTTTGTATGTGGTTACTGCAGCAAATGTGTTGGGTTACAACAACAAGTGATGGCAAACTTGGAGGTTATAGTAACATAATTGGGATTTCAAGGAGATTTTTTTGGTCTGAGAATAGTGGTTTTGGTAATAATGGATTTTAAAGCTCATTTGGGGTTTTGGAATCGCTGCTGTGGTGATTGCAATGAATTCCTTCCTCAGCCCCTAAGTGCACCATAATCATCAGAAAAGGATTTGATGGGCATAGGCTACAAAAACTCTTGCAACATGGCCTTTTTAGTATTTGTTTGGGTCATTGCATGGCATGATAAACTTGGGATATCCCTTTGTTGCAACGGTGACAGTTTGGCATGATTCGGTGGTAGCATGTGCTTCTGGCAGCGGCTCTTCTAGCAATGGTGTTTGGATTTTGACTGGCTCTGTTCTTCTTCCACCCTTCCAGTGGCTCTTTCAGTGGTGCTTGAACTTCTATGACTGGAAGTATAGAGAGAGATTTGTCTAAGGAATGGATGATAATGGTAGTGTGTTGAGATGTTGGGTAGGAAACATGAGAGCATTTGTTTTCTTGTTTGTTGTTTGGAGGCTTGGGTCCCTTGCACATGACCGATATAATGCTGCATGACCAAAGCATAAAAATAATATAAGCATTGTAGCTTGCAAATGACTAACATAATTGACATAAGCATGCTGAGCAGGTATGATTTTAGTACTGAGCATGCATAGTTGGCATCTACATTGCAATGTGTAACTTGGATTGATTAACACAAAGGTGGATCGATACGAAATGATAAGAAGTAAGATAAGTGAATAGTGCGTGGAATAAGGCCCTGAGAAATTTTGCTGGAGATGCAAAATTGAAAGGTGGTTTAATACATAACAAGAAAATGATGCAAGCTGGTGTACCATATGAATAACAACTAATCAATCAATCTTTTTTTTTTTTGGACTTGAATGCACATGCTTTTGTCTATGCTTGAGATTGTTCAATGAAACATAAATTTTATGGATATCTTAAAACAACAAACAAATATATATACTATATTGAGATCAACAAGGCATGATAATAAAAATCTTATCTTGGTGAAGCCATTCGCAGAGATGAGGCTGAGAGCATTGAGCAAGTGTTCCTTCTCCCTCTCTCACCGTGTTTTCACAACTCTAGAGAGGTGAGGGCTGCTATGAAGGTGATTTACGGTGATGGCCAGACTTGCTGATGATGTATCATGGCGGAGAGGTGAACGGCAGAGCAAGCCTCAACAATTGACGACGGTGGTCAACGGCTTGCACGTTGGCTGAAGCCCCCAGTCCTCTTACAAGATCTTGTTTTGCTTGAGAATGGAGATCTAAGACACAAGCAAAGGGAGCATGTGAGTAATCTATATTATGTTTGTTCTACAAAGTAGATAGCCAACAAAAGGAAAAAGAAAAAGAAAGAGTAAATGCTCTTATCTCTTTATTTCCTCCGGTTTATTGCTTATGGTTTTCTTCTTTGAAGGCATTGGTGCAGATAGTGGCTTAATCCCCAGCAGAGTCGCCAATTTATGTGAGGGACTTTTTCTTCCTGCAGCTAATGGGCTGGGCTGCTGCAAAAGGCAGACTGAGGAGATTGCCCCCTTTTGTTTAGGTTCGAAAATTAAGCCCCAAAATACCTCGAAAGGGCAGCAAAACCTTAGGAGATATTTTGGATAATCTTCACCAACGAGAATAATGGTGACCTACAGATAGTTTTGACATGCTTACAGATGGTCTTTTTAGCTCAGCATGAGTGGCATGTGGCATGGGACCAAAACCAACATGAGTTTAGCATTAAGAGAGAAATTAGGCTTGGTTTATGAGAAAAGAAAGTGTTTAAGTATGGAATGAGGTGTTTTGTGAGGAATTTGACTAGGGAAAGAGGAAAAAGAAAGGCAGAGTTCTTCTGGCAGCTGCCAGAAAAACAAATTGGAGAAGAAGATGAACAGTGCACGAGCTTGTTGAGTTTTTGCAAGTTAGAGAGAAAGCTTGCTCTCTGCAGGTTGTGGGTTGTCTCTGTTGGGTAGGGGAAGGCTCAATTTATAGCTGCTGGAAATCACCATTTTTCAAGAAACCCTAATGGCTTCTACTTATTTTGGCTAAGTTTTTTCTTCCTTTCTCCTCCTCTTCTCTGACTTCCCTTTCTTGGCAAAGATTGCTTCTGTCTATTTACATGAATTCAGGGGATTTGGGGGCTCAACATCCTCCTTTCCCGCAGCTGTGCAGTGGGAGCTTCCACTCTTGGTTTGCTGTTTTTTCTTCTTTCCTTTCCTCTATTTTAACCAAATCTGGCGAAGGAAAGGAAGTGAAGATGCATACTGGTCCAAGGGATGCTTCTGGACAGCATGCGGGATAGTACTCATCGATTCTTTGGATGTCTCTGGCTTGGGACTTGTTTCCAGCAGCTTTGCTTAAGGAGTCTGCCAACCTCCCTTCACGTGTCCTCTGTTTTCTTCAAACAAAAACTGAGGTTTTTGTGGACTATTTTAGGATTTTTATATGGGCCAAGGTGATTTTCTAAGTAGAGGGTTTTTATTAAACATTGGGCTTCTTAGTTTGGGCTTTATTTTGGTTGGGTTGTTTTGCTTGGGTATTGGGCTATTTTTTTCTATTGTGCTTACCCATATGTTTGGGCCTAAGAAATGGGCTTGAGCCTCGAGGCTCCCAAGTAACCCGAGACTTTTCATTTCCCGGCCCATCAATGGGCCTCATGTTGATTTATTACCATCCATGCCACAACCCACTCAAGCAAGCCCCGGGTATTTGAGTGGCTTGGGCCCACTTAAGCTTGTAGTGCGATTGGGTGTGAAATAGTAATTTCCCGCTTGGCATGGCATGTTGCTTGGCATGCTTTTAAATATGGCGCTTGATAGGATAGTTGGCATGGATTTGCAGAGCTAAATGCATTTTATAATTTTAATCTCAATTC